AAATGTATTCTTTTTTCAATAAGGTTTTACAGATTACATTCTAGTCAAGCCCAATACATAAAGTCAATCTTGCGCACAGGGACCAATAAAAATGTCGTTAATGTCCTGGTGGCCAATCGAAATTCCACCCCTCGCTTCAAAGGAAAGGCCGCCCTCTTTAGTGAAGAGAATTTGATCTGTAAAACGCAATTTGAAGAAAATTGAATTCGTAATGGTCAATCCGATAAACAGAAATTTGCAAAAACAAAAAAAAGCTAAAACCTTTTTACTTTTATAAAAGAAAATTCAGTTTCACTACTGGATTGCATTTATTTTAAATTATATCTTTTTTTTTCAATGTTAAAAATGCGTATTTTCAAATTTCTATTGCCAAAATGTGATACTGGTTTGGAACAATAATGGATCAAGAGTCCCTTAATAAATGGTTTAATAGAGACAAAAAAGTAAAAGTACTAAATATCCAACTAGGGAGGTTCTACATGCATCTTTTTTTTATATTCACCCGTTCAAACGGTATTGATGCTTCAGCTTCATTTCAAGGCCAGAAGAGACGCTGGTTTGTAACGAGTATGCCAGAATCAAACTGATGGTGGTTTAGGGTCTGTGATGGATAGGCCAGCCTCACCAGAGACTACAATGCTATTTTTTTGTTGTTCCCATCTTGTATTTGGAATGCCCAATACTTACCCATAACTTTCTTTTCATATGACCCTTCCAGAAGCCCCCATCTCGTTCATCATCCCTGTCGCTCCCTTTTCCTGGCTGTATTCAGAGCCCTGGTGCTTCTGTGCATGGTTGCAGACTGATCCACCCTCCCATATTTCCAGGAAACAGTCCAGACGCATATTGCCAGAACATGCTTCGAGCTATGCCAACCATCATTTTCTTGGCCAGATTCCCTCGTACCCGTCTGGTCATCACTCAACCTTGTCTGAACTCATCTCTGCCTGAAATGCCCCTGAAAATGATTGCATACAAATGTGTCTCCACTTACTAGTTATCGTTTTTGTTTTGTTTTTTGTTGCACGGTTTCTGTTTCGGAAATCTGAGCGTACGCCAACAATGCCACAATGAACTGGAACTTTCCTGGACTTGTTTGGGGTTCTCAGCTGAAAGGGTTAGAATTGAAAACAAATGTTAGAGTCTGTAATGTCCACAATGAGTTTGGACTGCAAATTTACTATTAAAAGAACAAATTTAAAGTTTTTTAGCTAATTTGGAGGATTGAGATATTTTCTTTTACTTTAAAGAATTGGATGAGATGTGGGCAATAACTAAACAAGTCTCATCCGAGAGGTTTTTCTGTCCTTTCATCCAGCAGTTCCCTAAATCAGTCGAAAGTTTCCCTATAAATGGCTTTCTTTTAGCATCTCCAACCAATATAAAACATAAAACTTTCAGCTTATCAGGGCTTGAAACATCTTTTTCTATCATTTTAAATCTTTGTGATCAAAAATCAACCCGATCATCTAAGCGAGGGGTGGTCACTGAAATCTGCAGCCCAGTCCCCACCTGCTGTTTCATTTTCTCTTCAGGGATTAGCTGTGTTTACTGCAGCTGTAGCCTGAGAGGGGGGAGGAGGGGGGGCGAGGACCTTGGAATGAAAGATAAAAAAAAGAACAGAAACGCACTTCGCTTCTTTTTATCCATCTCTTCCAATGCCCTTGAGCGACACACTCGGTCCGTCGCCTGTAAAGAACTCAATTAAAACGAGCATCTCTGTTGCTCATATGGCATTCTTTGAAAAAATGAAGGCTGATGTTAAAAAGAGGCTAATTAAAATGAATAGTCTTTTTTTCTTCCTGACATAAATGAATGTATTTGGTGAAACATTTAGCACGTTCTGTTAGAAATGCAGCCCTGAGAAGCTTTTTAAGAGCAGCAATGATTGTCTGGTCTGAGCTGAAAAGGCTATAAAAGCAGGAGAAGGTCAAGACAAGTATTTTATTTAAAGATGGTAAAGAATCTTTAGGAAGGTGAAGAACCAGAAGTTTGCCTCCTCATTCACCCGTTTTATCTATTGTGAATGTGTTTAGCAGCTCCGCTTTGTTTCCCTTATTTCTCGTCCAGGCTGGATGATTGATGCAGACAGCAGGCCGAAGTTCAAGGAACTAGCCGCCGAGTTCTGCAGAATGGCTCGTGATCCGCAGCGGTATCTGGTCATCCAGGTATGTCTCCTATCAAGACATAGTTGACATGGGAAAGTCATTGCCAATATGGCTTTTAGTTGGACCTTTAGTTGAACATAAGGGTGTCATCAGACATGGATGGCATAGTCAGCCTAACTTGACCTGATAATGCCAGACCTGTAGAGTCTAGATATCACCTAAGCAGAACACAAAGTAGGCTTTGTTTTCCATTTTGTTTTCCCGAAGCTAACGATTCACACATTATCCCTCTGTAGGGAACATCACTATGTGCCTTTAACCTCTTACACCCTAAGGGGGTATAAATAAATTTCTGGCTGACAAAAACACCCAAAAGTAAATCACTTATAGCCTCACAGCTATTAGATTTAAGAAGAAACTTTTGGTACGTCTGTAAAGGTAAGATGTCATAGAATGGTTTTCTGGTGTCAGCACCATTGTAGCTTTGACCCTGCCTGAAATATTAGGGACAAAATACAAAATATTTTGCATTTTTTGAACCTCGCCAAAATTTTCTTTGAAATAAACATTGCAAAACACTACCAAAATATTATTTATAGCGCAAAAAAGTAGTACAGACTTTTAAATCTAAATGTTGTGTAAAAATACACTAAATTTGGACTCAATCAGATGAATCATATTTATTTTAGAATGGTATTAGTGAGAAATTTCTTAGGCGGAGAGGCCATTTTCGCACATTTATCCAAAAATGTCACCAAACTGTGCCAAATGTGTTTTTTACATCAATACTGGGGGTTTGGTAAAATTACGAGGTCACGTAGCAGCTGGACCCGCCGGTGGGTCCGTAGGGTTCTAGGGGTTAAGAATTTATATAGTTTAAAAACAGAAAAAACAAGTCAAATTTGAGGTCTAGTGTACTCTTTAAATGTCCGTTTTCGCCAGTAAGTCCAATCTTAGACTAGCCCAGAAATGAGACTTGGCATAGTCTATTGGTGATTGCTTTTACCAGGGTGAAACTATAAATTATTATGTTTTTCCATTACAATGCAGATTTATTTTTTACCTTAAATATTAAAGTTTTTATTTACTAAAGTGGGACAAACTTAAGAGCTCTCTAAAGGCAGAGGTGATACTATATCCGAGCTCCGCATCCAATTAAGTATTTCAATCAATTTGGAATTCAAGCATTTGGACCAAAACGAAAACCTGTCATTTTTATGTTTGTGATTCAGGGGGACGACAGGATGAAGCTCCCCAGCCCCAATGATAGCAAGTTCTTCCAGAGCCTTTTGGACGAAGAGGACCTTGATGACTTGATGGATGCAGAGGAGTATCTGGTGCCTCGGGGTTTTAACGTGACCGCTTCGTCGGGCACAGCGAGGCCTCGGGTCGACTCCAACAGAGTAAGAGAACTGCTCACGTTTCGGAGAGGCTTTTGGATGTTTTACAGTGATGAGATAAAAACCTCAAAACTGTTTCCACAGTAAAAGTGAGAACAACATCTATGAATGGATAAGAAGATCTGTTGTAAGGCAAATTACAATTTAATAACTCAATGTAACAAACTGCACTTTAATACTTTTCAAACTGAAGCTAAATCTTCGAAAAAAGAGGAAAAATAAATCATAACATCTAACGTCATTTAACAGATAACCTGTAAGTGTAATTTACTATAATTAATAAGCATAAAATGCGTTTTATTTTTACTTCATCTGATCCATTCAGTCTTCTAATCATATTTGCTTCTTAAACCTAGATCAAACTAAATAGTCATGACAGAATAATGCAATAAAATAAATGCACAAAACCATTGCATTGTTAAACCATTTGCTTTACTGCCATTTTACAGCTGTTTATTATACAAATGCATAACAATCTTCATCTGACAATACTTGACTCATAAAGCTCTTGTATTTTGTGCCTGAAGCTAAACAAAAAGCAAGCCGAGTTGCAAAATAAAGAAAATATTCAAATTTATTCCAATCCACAGCAATCTAGAGTCAGAGCAAAGAGAAATCTGCCCCCCAAGGATTCTTAGACTCTTAATGTATAAATAAGCATCTTATTAATTATTCAAACCTTACTTCAAGTATACAAAATTCCCAAAGATCCCATCATGTCATTATTTATTGGTTAAATATCAACATTAAATGGGACTCCCCAAGAGATAGTAAACCCACATAACATAAAGGGGGTTCTGTCTTTTTATTGTTATTACCATTCAGAGATGGGAGAGGAATCGGCACCTTATGGCTTTATTAAAACGAGAAAAGAATCATTTAGTTCAATATATTTTGTCAGAATAAATGTTGTTAAACCATGTTCCCGCAAATTTTTTGTAATATTTTACCAAGACACTCACAAAATTATTTAAAGGGAGTTTATACTTTACATTAAGGCAGACATAACTTTTTCCTCGTCAAAACGACTAACTTTTCAGAGTTAAAACAGTGGTGGAGAATAGAAGTATTAATATTGTTTTAAAAGGAAGTTTTAAGTATATATAAATGACTATATTTTTCATAAATTTTGACATTTACATCCTGGTTATAATGCCAAAGTCCAAGCAAAAGGATTCTGCACTAATCGGAATTATAGGTTGAGGTCACATGAGACGGAGCTCAAGCGTAGCCACATGCTAGTAGCTCAGTGACAGAGCTGAGAAAAGCTTATTTTCAGTGTCATATTTCTAAGATTCAAGACAAAAAAAAAGAAGCATAACAAGCTTTAACATTTTCAGTGTTGGTGTCCAGTGTCCAACTAAAGGAAGCAAAGTGTCATGATTTTACTAAAGTTCAGACCCAAATGCTGAAGACCAAACAGGGAGACCAGGAGAAAAGGTTTACACAGGTTTTATTGAAAAGATAATGCTGAGAGAAGTGTTGATCTGAACACAGCTCAACCGGAACTGAAAAGTGAGGGGAAGGCACAGCGATTAGTTCAGGCTCAGTGGGAAATTTGATTCCTGAGAAGAGGATCTGGTTGCTGACACACGTTTCCAGAGAAGTTGTTGAATCTTTGACTCCGGTCTGTATGCTGTTGTTCCAGTGTTTGTCTGATTCGGTGGACGGCGGAACAGGGTTTACCCACAATGCGGTTGTTTGTAGGTGAACGGAGAAGCTGACTGCCACTCCTGCGGTACTTGAAAGGGTCGTAGTGGAAATGAATCCTTTTCTCAGTGTGAAGCTCAAACGATCTCTTGGGGAAAGTGGGTCCAAACCTCCTGTTTGTAACCCCAGCTGAGCTTGAAGCTCTGTTGATCCTTCCAGGGAGAGAAGGACCGAAAAACCCAGTTTGCAGGATGACTTCCTGCCGAGAGGCAAAGACAAAAACAATGTTAAAACTAAGGTTGACAAGAACTCAGTTTGACTCAGCTAAACTCAGCTTGGCTAGAGTACCTAAACTGGCAAACACTCTGGCGTCGACGTAGTGGCAGTCAGCAGCTTAAGAACACTCCGTTAACGAGGTAACCATCAGCAGGTGTGTGAAGAGGCGGACCAGAACCAGGCGCCTCCTGGTGGAGGAAGGGAGACAAATACAGAAACACAAACACACAGACAGGAGTCCTGACACAAAGTTGCTTAGAAACCATGTAGAGGTTGCTGCTTTTCCTTCTTAAATTAGTTCTTACTACCGATTAGCATTAGCATTGACCATTACTTGGTTACCACCTTGAAACCTTTTGTGATTTTAATTTCTGCAGTCAGCCTTACAATTCAGCAGGAACAACCAGTGTTGCATTAAAGATGCAAGCATCAATCAGTAGCGCATAGGAAGTGGCATAATTTGTATAGAGAGGGAAAAAAACGACAACACACTTGTAAAAATGTTTGAACTTCAATGGTTTAAGTTGTGCAAGATGTTTTTGCAGCAAAAATGTTAATTTGTGCTGCTTTTGTTGTAACGTTATTAGCTATTGGTCTAAGGGGCGAGACCCCAACCCATCTCCCATAAACGACATTAATTAAAAATGGTGTCAAATGTTGAGTACATTTGTGCAGCAAAAACTTTTATTAGGGTTGCTTTTTGTTTGAAGTTGTTGATGAAAGTTCAAAAAGTCGACCAACCGCAATAAAACGACAAATTCAACAAAAATAGGGTAAAATGTTATTGCTATGTATGTGCAGGAAAAATTTGTCAAAAGGTTTGATCAAAAAAAAAAAACTTTTTACTGACCAAATATATCAAACGTTTGTCATCTTTTTGGGGTAATGTCAAGAACACACCAACCCAGACCAAGGAGTACAGAGACATTGCCTGCAGAGGCTAAAATCAGGTGGCTGGTAAGGTTAAGAAATTAAATTATAAATTTTGAAAACTTTTTGTGTATGCTCTGATTACTATTCTGAAAGTGTTTCAACTCGAATATTTGGATATTTTATAAAAGCAAAGAGAGAAGACATGTAATTTCTACAGATGTCATTCACTGACTCCCATATATACTACTGCCAAAGCTGTTGTCCTTTAGAAGCACTCAAGGGGGTTAAGAGTTTGCAATACACCAGTGATTTTCTTCCACTAATGCTCTATAGTTCCAACATTTCCATTCCAGCGGCCTGCTTTAAATCTGGACTTATGCACTAAGGTCCCCAGGCCCCGACTTTCATTACTTGGCACTTTCTAAGCAAATAACACATCCCCTCTTAAAAGGCCTAAGCTGTTTACTAATAGACAATAAGAGCAGGATAATGCGGCATGTACCTCGTGCTGCTGGAATAAGGCTCTGCATCTTATGCAGCTTTAACCCCTGCAATCTGCAAATCTCTTCTTGCCGGGAACCAGTGCTGAAGGTCAGTAAGTCTGTCTCTGTTTTGATTGTCCGGTCAAACCAGGGGGAAATAATTAATCTTTCAAACAGTTTCCTTTGAAGCTAGAATCTAGTTATTTCCTATGCCTTTGCAGAGGTGGTCTCTGTTATCTGAGTCAATTTGCCTTCATACTTAGACTAAAAAGAGGCAGTTAATGACTTCATTTGAAGCAGGATTCAAGTTAGAAATTTGGAGGAGGAGGCAGTTGACTGCAGGGGTGGTTAGACTGTAGGAGTAGGTGGACAGCTATAACTCCAGGACATTTATCTTTTTTCTCGTTGTTTTTTTTTGTTGATCTGCTTGATGTAATTGTTGCTCTGTGCTCACAGTTTGCACGAGTGCAGAAGAAGAAGGGCTGCATTAAACAGCCCAAGGCAAGCCAACACAGCACCATGAGAAGCCCTCTGCTTCGCGTGTCATGTTTTGTGTTTTCTTCTGGGGGTTTTCATTCTTTTTTTGAAGTTAGAGTGTAGGAATTGCTTCTTCACCCGGCTGCCCCTCACAATCCCTAATGGGTACAAAGCAAAACTTGGAGGCTTTAATTTATTGTTATTCTTAGGCCTCCTGTGAGATTTTCATATTAAAATTCCAGTGTTTCTCAGATGCAATCAAGTTCTCAAATTGGTTCTTGGCTAATTTTTTAAATTTAAGTGGTGTAAATGTCCAGTTTACAGTATTGTATCACAATTGTATTGATGACATTGCAATGTTTCCCCATAGATACAAAAGTACTCATACTCTAGTCTACAACCCAAAACATAGATTTTATTAGACTGTGAAAGACCAACATAAAGTGGTACATCATTGTAAAGTAGAAAGAAAAATATTAGTCATACCAGAAACTACTGCTTTCCAAAAGTTTCTATGTCTGCACCGAATGTGTAAGAACTGACATTGTGGTAATGACTTACAGTTACAGTTTGTTGCACACTTAAAACAATAGGTATTTGAAAAACATTAAAATGTGGTTGAGATGTTTGGGGTGGGTCTGGTGCCCCTCACTCCTGCTATTGATCCTATCCTCCTGCTCAGGAACACTTGCAAACCTATGTAAAAGCCACATTAGTTTGTTTCCAGGCGTTCAATTGTTGTGGTTAGTGTTTTTTTAATCCAACATTGATGTGAATCAGAGACCCGTCTGCCATTCTCCTAGGTCGCTGGAGTCTGTTTGTCATGGGTTTTGTTATTGGCTGTTTGAATAATGAGGATGCTGGTTTTTTGGGGGTTATTTTAGCTTTTTTTTTAAAGTTTTTAAAGCACAAATAGCTCGTTTTTTCAAGAAAAGAAAAAGGAAAAAACATAAAACAATGTTAGCATTTTCCACTACTTAAAAAACCCATTCTTCACCACAGAACCAGTTTGGCTATCGAGATGGGGGCCCAAATGCGTCGGAAGGAGCCCTGGCCGGGGCACAAAGCAGCGGAAACCAGGAAGCTTCTGGCAGCCAGGGACCAGCTCCGGAGGACCAGCGCTGCAATGGAAGTCTGCACAGAAAGAGCCAGAGCCAAGCTGCAGGGGAAGACAGCGGGACCCAGAGATATAGTGCCGACCCCACCATCTTCCTGGGGGACAGAACGTCCAGAGGCGACACTGATGAGGACGGCTACATGACGGCAATGAAAGACAAGAGTTCCTCAGGTATTCAAAGAGAAAACCAAGCAGTACAACGCTTAAGAAGACTTACCCTAACCCTGCCATGCCTTTAGTCATTACTAGTGTTGTACCGATATCGGCGAGTACCAACAAATAGGGTACCGATACCATTTTGAGAGCCATAAGTTTATTCAACTATTGTCACCCACTCCTGGTAGGCAATAAAAAGTTCTACTGGATTCACTTTTAATTTGATTTTTTCCTGCTTCACAAAGGTAGGCAGCAGCTTGACAAAGCCATGATGGCAATTATTTTGCATTATTATGGTATCAGTATGGTATACTGCACAGCCAGGTATCGGGTATCAGTATCGAGGCCAAAAAAGGGCATCTGCGCAACACTAGTCATTACATCACCAAATACAGCCCCGCTCTATTAATTTTGCTTTAATTTCATTCGATTATGGGGCTTGGACACAGTGGGGAAGAGGTATTTGTTTTCCACTTTGAACCCCCCACAGATGGAGTTTCCACTGTTGGCGTTCTGCCCATATGGTCCTCTGTGGCTACAGTTATTAGCTGTTGATCCTTCTGTACTTTCCCTGTATTTTCTTTTTTTATTTTGCTTAAATTGATTTAATTTCTATCGTGACAACTTCCTTATCTTTTATCTCTATGGCTTCCCCTCTGCAGAGTATCTGAACCCTATCGAGGAGAACCCCTTTGTATCCAGGCGTAAAAATGGTGAGATCCACGCTTTGGACAACCCTGGGTACCACAGCACGCCCAACAGTCAACCTAAAGGAGAGGATGAGTACATCAACGAGCCCCTCTACCTCAATACCTTCCACAATTCTGCTGAGCTGGGCCTGGAGGCCCTGAGGAGGAACGGTTTACCCTTACCCAATCTGCCTCCTTCTTCCATCTCAGCCTCTGCACCAGGTTCCCATCTCCCACTTACAGTTCAGACCAGTCTGCCCCACTACCCTTTGCCCTCGGTACAACCATCTCCTGCTGGCCTGCCCTGCCTCCATGTCCCAGCAACTCACATCCTCCATACCCACAACACCATCAAACCTCCAGGTGGCTCCGTCACTACAAGCCAAGCAGGAACTTCTGCTCAAGCCCAGGTGAGCCAATCCGGTTCCCTTTCAACTTCAGCCACCTTTGGGCATGGAAGCCTGCCAGCGTACCAGACCTTCACCCATTCACATCCGGGGAGCTTGCTGAAACATGGAGGGCATACATCAGGAAAGGCCAGCGGGAAGAAGCTCAAGGTAACCTTTGACAATCCTGAGTACTGGCAGCACAGCTTGCCCCCAAAATCATCCATACAGGTGGCCCCTGACGGGGCCCAGGGAGGCACAACCAATGCCAAGCTCTTCTACAAACAGAACGGACACATACGGCCAGCGGTAGCCGAAAACTCAGAGTACATGTCTGAATTTGCTCTAAAGTCCGGCACTGTTCTGCCACCTCCCCCCTACAGGCAGCGAAACACTGTGGTCTAGATTGCCCCACCCACCCCCCAATCTGCCGTCCGGACATCCTATCTGGTTCCACCATCAGTGGCGTCGAACAAAAAAAACGACCCGACTCTTTGCCATCTGCTGTAGCAACATCCAAAGGAGTTGGACAGGTATAACCAACTCGGACACCTTCCCTATATCCAGTCTGGTCCATTTCTATTTGTAGATAGACTCTTACGACTCGATGAGATGCTTATGGCAAAAAGATCAGGTGGTGGAGGTACTCTGTGATGATGCACCAAGGCAGACGCACAAAGGATCCAGCTTTGGGGACATGAACTCACTGCCAGCCACCTTGGTGTCAATTCTGTGAGAGAAACAAAGGCTTTTCTATTATTTGCCAGCAAAAAAAGAAAAAAGAAAAGCAAAGAGGATGAGCAATAGTTTCTTAAATAGGAAAACCATCACTGAATGAGGTGGAAAAAGAATAAAGAATGTGAGAAAAGAACAAGGCGCAGTATGGAAGGAGCAACAGAAAAAGACTTACCCGTCATATTCAGTGTTTTTGCCTTTCGGGTTATAACGTGTGTTCTTGAATTTTCCATCAAATGTGTGAAAATCATCTAATCCTATTGTTACTGTGATGATGTGATGGCCAGAACTACAACGATCTCTTTTCTTTGTAGTTCAACCTCAGACTTTATACAACCGCCTGAAAATATCCAGGGCAACTACTGTTAGTTATTTCCTTTGTTTGTTTTTGGTGGACTGCTGTAAGCTTGGAGATGATGATCAAAAATCCCATTCAAGGGGGGAAAAGTACACTGTTGTTACTTTTCTATACACTACTGAAAATGATTCATTTTCTACACTGTTTTTTTTCCCTTTCACATCTCAAAGCTAAATTTAATGAGTAAATGTGAAGTAAATTGCTGCAGACAGACAACAGTGAAAAGATCATCTGGAAAGCAGCAGAACTCAAAAAGTAGATCACAGGGAGAGGAATTCCTCGGAAGAAATTTTAGCGAAGGTTTCTACAAGCTGACTGATGAAGACCTCAAGGAACGATTGTGGCAGTACAAGCAGGGTGCAGGAAAATAGACAACCTGTTAATGCGTGCTTGCATCAGTGTGATTGGGATGAGTGACTATGTGTGTTTCAGCAAGCCATCTTGGCCCCTTTGAGAAAGAGAAGTATCGTTATTAACAACTTAGTAGTGTTGTTATTAACAGCTATAGATATTAACCAACAATGTGCTTACGAGGGGTGAATTTTGGCATGGGTATTGCAATAAGATACGTGTCACGATATTTGGATCACAATACGATATTATCGCAATATCATTATATATTGTGATATTTTTCCAGCTATCAAAATTAAATGAAAAATAAATAGATAATATAACAGAGAGCAAGAGTTGTATATGTTTATCAGAAGATATTGATCACTTAGTTATTTTGGTATCCATGGTGTTTGGGGTTTGAGTCAGTCCACTTCTTCCACCGTGACTGCCTCAACTATAGATATGGTGTTGCGCCGTACAGCAAAGGGGCTCCAATGCTCTATCTGTCATAGTGGCGATGCCGCAGTAGTCCATTTTAGCTCATCATTTTAGGTTAAAAAAATGTTTTTTTTCAATATTAGGAACTGAAAGATTGATATTATATCGATCATCTGAAAATCTCGATAATATCGCCAAATCGATTTTTCCCCACACCATTAGTGCTTACACTGGTAGTGAAAAATCTTTAGGAATGGGTCAGTAGCAACAAATCTCCGGAAACATTCTAGAGTCCTCACGGTCCAGGGATTTTTCTGGACACATACTGTAGTTTTACACTGGACCTCTTGATCTGTCCTCTACAGTACTGCTGTTTCCTTAGTGGTTTTCGCATCATATTTGTCAATATTTTTTAAGCTAACGCAATGAAATTTCTTATTAAGCTCATAAATTGTAGGGATCAAAATGTCTGCATACTAAGAAGGTAATTCAACCATTTGATTCAGGTATAGCAACTTTTCACGACACCTTTGGTCGTCCTGATTGCACTGCTTTGCCGTTAAGATTGCGAAAACCTACAACCATAGGACCGGTATAATAAAAGTTTTATATCACATAAAGTGATTTAAAAATTGTTTTTACACCATGCTCATGCTAAATATGAACTTTTTTTTCCCATATTAGCTTTGTTGTTATCAAGATTAAGTAAAAAGTACTCAGTCGTCAGGCCAGTGTGAAAATGTAAAGAACAACGGCTTGACCTCCAGGAAGGCAGCCATTTTCTGCGCTGTTCTTTTCAGGATCATCATTCCAACTCCCTCGGGTGTCTTCTGCACTTCCTTACTGGTTCTTCCTCTATGATTTTTTCTTGCTCCGTTTCACACAGCTAAATAGTCTAACGTACATTAAATCCTCTAATTATGGCAAAGAAAAAGATATTTCCAGGCAATCAACTTCTCACAGGGCAGATTACATATGAAGTTTAAATATAGACAGAAGGATGGGCTGCTAGGCTAACAGTATGAGGTTATTTACATTTACATTTTTATATTACTTCAGTTAATTTATTGATGCATTAACTGCATCAATCTGCATTTATCCGAAAGCCAATAATCTCTGTCTCCAATTTGTGTCAAAGGTGTGTGATATTCTCAAAGATCTTTCTTTTAAATTAGTCGTTTACTCATTTTTACTCAGTCTTCGTTCGCCATTGAAACTGCGTCATTGTTAAAACTGATATACATGCTGAGCTCATTTCTATCAGAGCTGTGTTTTTTATTAACCTTATTTATATATTTAATGGTGTCTGAACGAGTTTGACTATGCACATGTAAAGCTGTATATGTTTTTCCTTTCCCTGGAGCACTTTGATCAAAGCCATGGGTAGAAAGTGTGCGTTATACCCTGCCTCGCTGAAATATTCAGCTTGTTTATATGGTAGTTTAACACTTCGGAAATCAAAAGCTGAAGCGTGAGTCTAAGGAAAGTAATGCCTTCAAGAGTTCAATGAGGAAAAAGAAACAGATTTGACGGTGTTGCCTGCCAGCGGAAAAATAAATGCTTTTTTCAGTTTTTTTTAATAACATTTAAAATTCCTATGAACATATTATGACTAATTCATCAAATAGTGTCTTGTAACTGCCTTTGCAACTCTAATTCTGTGAAATAGAGACAAATTTTCATATCAAAGTTAAATATTTATAGCATATTTTAGCTTGTTTATGCTGAGCAATGGAAGAAAAATTCCTATTCTGGGATTATAATTTGGTAGAAAAGAGTAGACGAGCTAAAATAAAATCTATGCTAGGCATTGTTTGCCCTCAATGAAACTGGAGGTAAAGGCAGATTATATGAGTATATTAAGAATCACTGGATTACAAACTATATATGACCGAGAGGGTAACTGAGTTGCTAAAACATGGAAAATCCAAGCCCATCAGAGCTATTCTGCTTTAAAGGGGTCATAGAATGATTATATAGGGTATTTGGTGCTGGTCCTTAAGGTCCCTGAACAGGGTGTGTAACATTGGTTGGGCTGAAAATGGCATATTTGCTGTTCTATGAGCCCTAATACAAGCCTGGATAAAAGCCCTAGAATAAAACAAAAGGTTTTCTTCCTTTTATGGTATGCTAATGAATATTTAGATGAGCCGTGCCCTGATTGGTTGGTTTACAACGAGCAAAGGTGTTGAGCAAAGACGCATCATAGCAACAAGCACTCGCTCAATGAAACATCAGAATTGTTGATATGGTAGGGTGACCAGACGTCCTCTTTTTCCCGGACAAGTCCTACTTTTCATACCTAAAAATGCATGTTGTCGAAACACACCGGGCATTCCAACTGAGTCGTCAGCCCCGGGGCTGGTCGCTCCGTAGTCGGCGGCGTACCGCGTTACGGAATGCACCCCCTGCATACCGTAACCGGGTCAGTTTTAGTCACTCCGTCCCCGGCTGTCTCGGTTCGAATTCCCGGACCGGTAGAAAGCCAAAATTGGCTAGCATTGCTTAGCAACAAAATATTACCTATAGCTTGCAGTTGTAATGGCCTTACGGTCGGAACAGTCCCTCGTTTCAGTAAAAGAAGTTTAGAAAATCCTGCTTTGAACTGTCAAAGATTTTGAAAGCTGTCTTCGGTAAAATGCTTAGAGCAAATGAACATCAAAATTTGCAGGGATCTTCTGATAGACAAAAATAATCCATGCCTGTCGAGTCTTTAGATCCTTGGGAAAACTTTGTAAATGTCTTCACAGTCTGTATGTAAATGTATGCCAATGTAGGCCAGAACCAAAAAAGGCAACATCCCCGAATTGACGTCGACTCAGGGCTTTGTTTGAATTTGTCGGTTTTATGGTGGAATTTTAGAATTGTGAGTTTTGCAGAGAAAGGAGGTGTAGATGGGGGTTGAACTTCTCTGTACGTCCGTTTCACCCGCTGAACTATCGTTATTCATCTATGACAATGTAAACTCGGTTTTGCATTCTATGACCCCTTTAAATATACTGTTGTTTTTGTTAGGGTACTGGTTAAAAAAAAACAAAGCGAAAAGAGCTGAGCCTTGATAACCTTTTTGTTTCTTTTTTTGTTTCTTTGTCCTGCACTTATGACTCATAGTACGAATATATATTTGGCTGTTTTACATATTGCTATTTAGCAAAATCTAATGGCTACGAAAAAATTTAACATTTTTAAAGCCAAACCCATACATACATACAGTATGTGTTTGTCGAAAATCCTTCCTAATGAAAATAATTAGGCTATTCATACGGTTTGTAGTGGCAAAATGTATCTTATATATTATTAATATTGTTCAACTTTAACCATTAACCTGTTTTTTTTTTTTTTTTTTTTTTTTTTTTTTTTTTTTATTGAAATACTAAATGGGAAGGCCCAGAAGGCAGCTTCATGTTTTGTTTTTTGTTTTTTTTTTAAATATGGCAGTTTGAACAGCTCTTTTATAATTTTTTTTATTTTACAATATACGCATGTGAATCTGGCACAGAAGGATAAATCTTTGATTAATATTGCTGACATAGAGAAATATAATACTATTTTTTTTCTATCGATGGATAAGGGTCACATTTTTAAATATTTTACTTTGTTGTTTGATCTAAGCCATGGCAAAAAGTTTATGTTGCCAATTTTTAATGAAACTTAATGTAACTTTTATTAATTTCAAAAAACTTCAGCTAGCGTGGTTAGCTTAGCCTGTGGGTTAAAACCAGTTTCTACCTTTAGCTACAAAAGCCAATCACAGACTGGACATGTGTCTTCAAACAGCCATCTTTGTTTTACATGAACAAGTAAAAACATGGAAATGTTTTATGGCTTCTGTTTCTTAATCAAACCTACTCATGTATATGTAATTTAGCATAAATTTAGCAGATTGTTTTTTATAGGTACGCTGTATACAGAAGATAATTGTATCGTTTCAAAGGGACACAGACTCACAGGAAACTTTTGCTTTATTAAATAAATTATTCACATATTTATTAAAAAAACAAACTACTAATGTATGTGCATACTTGGCAAAACACTGAACAATAAAAATCATTGTTTATACTTTTTAAAACTAAGCTGGATTAAAGGATTGCGGCGCCAGGCCGGATTTCCGGCTCGTAGCGATTGCCCATGGGTAAAGAAAAAAATCACTCAAAATAAATTAAATGTAAATAAATTTTAAAAATACAATCGAAATACCCTTGCGTTTTTCAGCCAATGGTGGCAAAGAATCGCTCTGAAACTAACAGTATTAGCCAAACAGAAGATGGAGGCGGGTTCTGCTCGTGCGGTCGCGCACGCTACACATTTGCCAGGAGCTACGGCAACAAATGATTTACCAGCGTCAAAAACTGACCTGGTATGCGAGTTAAAAATAAGGGTTTGTGCTTTCCTCACGGAACACAACCTCTCATTTAAACTAGATGCACTTTTGCCATATTCTGGCTGTTCTTTGGTATTGTCATGATTTTACAAAGTTCAGACTCAAATGCAGAAAACAGAACAGAGAGACCAGGGAAAAGGTTTAACGGGTTTTATTGAAGAGGTAAAATAGAGGGAGAAGTGTTGCTCTGAACACTGCTCAACCGGAAGTTTCCAACAAAAAGTGTCCTTTGTAGAATCCAGTCTGTGTGGGATGTTCCAGTGATTGTCTTGTTTGATGTTGATGTTGTTTGATGTTTGATGAGGGTTTACTCAGACTGTGGTTGTTCCTTGGTGAACGGAGAAGCTGACTGCCACTCAGATTTCCTGCGGTTCTGGAACGGGTCGTAGTGGAGATGAATCCCTTGCTCAGTATGAAGTCAAACGATCTCTTGGGGGAAAAGTTGACTCAAACCTCCAGTTTAAATCCTTAGCTCAGTTTGAAGCTCAGTTGATCCTTCCAGGGAGAGAAGGTCCGAAAAATCCAGTTAACGTTAAGCTGGATTTGTATTGACGCATCCGTGAGGTAAACACAGCAGAATTACCTCATTTAGGTGGATTTAGCATAGAGGTTTACTGTTTATTTAGCCTCAAAATTTCCACACTGCACTGCAAGGATTTTTTTTGGAGCTATTCGGAGAGCTCTGCGAAGGTTTGCGAACATTCAGCGACATCTTATGATTTATCCCATTATTGATTGTGGAAAAAAACTCTTGGGAATAAATTACAGCCACTCTGAGATGACAGAAAGAAGCTTAAAACAGTTGCGTTTTAAACTTGCTTTGTTCTTGTAAGCTTGCCATTTGTGCTGTACACGTCTCGAGGAGATGCAATGTCCGCTCATCTCATTTGAACTTGTGCGTCAAGCATAAGTACGTTAGCGTTCAGTGTAAATTATTTTTCTACTGTAGTTACAAAAGGCTAGTTTCACGTTATCAATTATGTTTTGGGTTTTTTTTGTAAATCGAAAAAAAACCTTGTTGAAGTTTTCTTTATTCAATAACTCACTCACTATTGTTTGAATTTGATCCAACGCTGTAAATCTATAGTCAAAACAAGGTTATATTGGAGAACAGAAACCTCAAATTTATTTTGTTCTAAGATGTTACAGATAATTTTTGTAAGAAATATAACACTAAGGTGGTTTTAAGTTGTTTAAAAGCTTGCTTAATTATTTGTGGATTTGGCCTTACATTTTTTAAAAGTGATGAAAATCAGCATGTTTCAGTGTTTCAGGGTTAAAAAAACGATAAACAAGATTACTAGTGTCATGTTTTTCACATGGCCTTGTGTTTAAAACAAAACCCCATGCAACAATGAACACATTAAAATATGAATGCTTTCATTTAACTTTTTTTTATTCTTTAAGTTCAACATGTAAATGCGAACATAGTGTGTGAATAATAAATCAATTTCGCGCGAAGGCACAAACCAGATGGCAGGGATTATTAAAACATCTAGTTGTTTTTTGATAACATTTTTGTTCAGTATTTAGGAGCAAACGAGAAGACATAGTCTTACTTTGTTTTACCTGAACAGAACAAGATGGGAGACCTGTTTTGTGTTGTCAAATGGAGAGGAAATCAAAAAACCACACAAATGTTTGTTTATACAGGTTTCATTTTATATAAAGCCTGCTCAATAATACACTATACTGCCAAAAGTATTCACTTATCTGCCTTGACTCCCATATGAGCTTTGGTGACATACCATTCTTAATCCATAGGGGTTCAGCACAATTACGGAATATGATTTGTAGACTGGATTTGTTCCATCGGTGCCATCATATCATATTTCTATGCTGGAATTCACTGAGTTACTAACATCGACTCATTCTTTCAAAAAAGTCTGTAATTAGTTGCTTGATTTTATACACATGTGGCCATGGGACTGATTGGAACACCTGATTCCAATCAAATTTGGATAAGTGTGCAAATACTTTTGGGAATATTGTTTATATGAGCTAGGTCAAACATGCCATTTTTTTTATTTTTTATTTTAACTGAAGGAAATCATTAAAAGACAAGGTTTTCTTTCTTTTTTTTGTTGTTAAAAAACAGCTGCTCATATTTCTGTCATTTAAGAACCTTCTCATGTATTTATGAGCTTGGACCACATGATTTAAATCAATTCGTACTGTAGGTGCAGAACACTTGAAGGCAAGACAAATTTGATTTAAAAAAATGGTTTGCTTAGTATTTATTTCAATATTTTATCTGATAGCATTACCATGTTTGTGTAAAGGAGGCCTTATATTTTCTTTTAAAGTACTGTTTTAAAATATTGATTTCCCTAAACTAGACAGCAAAGACACCAATTCATCAAACACCTCATTCTGTATGTTCTGGTTAGGAGATTGTGTTTCCTAGCAATAAAGCGACACATTTCTAGGCTAAAAATATAAAATTTCTGCAGATTAAACTTCACAAATTGATGCTTAAATATTATTTCAAGAGACATCTGGGTGTGTGTGAGTGTGTATGTGCGATGATGGCGTTTCCCGCGCTCTACCAAGGCTGTAGTTTATTCACTGTTGTATTGCCTACTGTACTTTATTCTAGATTTAGCTCCAAACTTTACCTGTTTGAGTTGTAATCACACAATTTATCACCGAAATAAAAAGGTTATCCTTCTTTTTTCCTCCCTATATAAAATACCAGATCAGTGTAACTGTACAGAATCAGCGGGCGGGGGTCACAAACAACAAATGTGAATAGTATTTTTCTAAAGCATTGTAATGGCCGAGGTGGTGAATTTGTACATTTAGGGAGGGGATGCTTTGAATTTATATCCCCCGTTCTCTCCGACTCCGTTTTCTCCTGCTTATCACAACTTGTACAAAAAAAGACTTACATATTTGCTTTATGTGGGTGTATCTTTGGACTAATGGGGATTTGTTTTTAAAAGTGCTTGTTGACATTTTTATCATGTAAAACAATGTTCAGTGACCCTACTCCAGACTTTAGTGGCTGTCCTCATGTACTATTTTATTTCATGTAAACATCCAAACTCTATAATGGTAATAGAGTCAGGCTTATCAGTGTTATTTAATATTTCACTTCCTTCACACCTGTTAGATTAATCCATTCATACTTACAAGGCTTTTTTTCCCCCCGTAAGTCCCGTATTCTTGCCATCTTAACTGTGAAACCAATGCTGCCAGCTACCCTGGACAGCTCCATCTTGCTCTGCCTGATTTCTACTAAATATATTACTGAGCCAAGTCTAACGTCATCCTTTTCCTAAAAGGCAGAGCACATCTTTCTTAAGCCAGCTTGTTTACTTTTCCATTTCCGATTTCTTTTTTGCATGCTTTTAGAGGTGATATATTGGGGAGCAGCTATTCTTCTTTTTTTTCCTTCGACACTTTCCACACCCACGGTCATTGGTGACTATCTCTCTCCAAGTCCTTTAAAATCACGCCCAAAGCTTTATATCAGAGAAATACCCTTCCTCATGTTTGTTACATGA